GCCCTGCTCGCTACCTCCTCCACCTGGCACTGCCTCCCAACAGGTGCTCCCTTCCGCCTTCCTATCTCCAGTCTCCTGGGTTCAGTCCATCACGCCTCGGTTGGCCTGGGCTGCCAGGGCCAGGGCAGGAGTTTGGTTTTCGTTCTGACAGGCTCCTCCTGGGGCATCGAGGAATGGACAGAGCACTCTCTGAGTCCCAGCCCCCACCCCACCGCAAGCAGTTTCTGCTTCGCAAAGTTGACAGTTGCCAGGAGCTCCCCGGAGCTTATGTCTTCAAGGCCGGCCTGCTTTCCCTTCTGCTGCTGCCCAAGCCCTGGATGGTTAACGTGGGGGTGGGGAGCTTGTATGGAGTGGGCAGAGTTGGAGGCAAGGGGACTAGAGGAAAGATAAGGGAAGAGACAGGACGGAAAGACAGGACTGAGGGAGAGAAATGAGGCAGAGAAGAGTCCAGGAGGGGCCCACCGCACCATTGTATGTCACTGAAGGACAGCCCTGTAGATGTGGACCTTGGCACAGGGAGAGTGACAGAGACAGCGAGCAGGACAGACGTTTCAGTCCAAAGAATAGTGTTCCTGGGGAAGGATGGGCCGGGCCTGTGGACGGCAAGAAGGTGGAGTCAGCCAGCCATGATGGTGGCGCTACACACACACACACACACACACACACACACACACACAGAGACCAAAACGAAGACACACAGGTGCACAGGCCCGTGTGCAGAGACACTTGTCAGAAGTTCTGCACAGGGCCCGTGTGCAGAGCCACAGAGAAGTTCTGCACAGGGCCCGTGTGCAGACACTTGTCCTCTCATCCATGTCCCTTCAGTCTTACCCGTGGTCACCTGAGGTGGCTAGGCAGGACTCTGACCTGTGACTTCTGTTCATGCCCTCCCTGGCCCCACAGAGGCACCCCATGTGCAGTATGAGCGCCTGGGCTCAGATGTGATGCTGCCATGCGGGACAGCAAGCTGGGACTCAGCTGTGACCTGGAGGGTGAATGGGACAGACCTGGCCCCTGACCTGCTCAATGGCTCTCAGCTGGTGCTACGAAGCCTAGAACTGGGCCACAGTGGCCTGTATGCCTGTTTCCACCGTGACTCCTGGCACCTGCGCCACCAAGTCCTGCTGCATGTGGGTTGTAAGTATTACCCTGGACGGTGACCTCTTACCGATGTCTCGACTTCCTGTTGGGAGGGAAGGAGAGGGGCTGCAGCCTGACCTTTGCCTTCTGATCCTACCCTAACCTGTTCTGACCTCTGAGTCTCATCATGCTCAATGAGTCCTGTTCACCTTACCTGTATCCCACAGATATCTACGAAGGCCTTTAAATCCTGAAGTCCTTTTGTCCCCTATGAAATAGTGGGCAGAGGGGGGCTGGCAAGGCTTGGTGGGTAGAAAGGGATCCTAGGGTCACAGCTCTGAGCTGGAGTGTCCTCACCATGTCTGCTCCCACAGGAGATAGTGTGCTGGAGGGAGGGAAACAGGACACAAGGACATCATACGTAGGAGCAGTTTGGGAGGTCCCGGGGAAGGAAGAAGGCATCGTACATTGGGAGACACATGAATACTCCAGATTTAGAAGATACATGGAAACAGAATTCCTTCCTTTTTATTTTTATGTGTAGTTTTGTTGTTTGTTTCTTTGTTGTTTGTTTGTTTGAGACAGGGTCTTACTATGCCATCCTGGCTGGCCTGGAACTAACAAAGTAGACATCAGGCTGGCCTCAAACTCACAGAGATCTGCCTGCCTTTGCCTCTTGAGTGCTGAGACTAAAAGCATGTGCCACCACACCCAGCTGGGAATGGCCTCCAAGTCACTTGGGTTGATGAAAATGGAGACAGGGGACTAAGGGAATAACAGAGTGTAGGTGGTGGTCACTGAGAACGGGTGAGTGATTTGGTCGGAATCAGGTCCAGGCAGTGAAGAGAAACACGTTGGAGGGACAAGGCAATGAAGGATGTAGCAGGAGACGCAGGAGACGTGGAGTTGAAGAAGTATGGGTGTCGGGCCTGCAGGAAGTGGTGATGGGTTAGAGAAAGTGTGGGGAGTTGAGGGCGGAAAGGTGGAGAAGGCTCGTGATATGGTCACGGTGACACATGACAGGAAGGAACCAGGAGAAGTGTGTTCGGTTTGGACAGTGGCTGGACTTGGGTCTCCCTAGATTCAGATCGAAGATGAGACTCTAAAGACAAGCATTTTATTTTGCATGTGATGGAAACCTCTTAAGGAGTGGAAAAGAGACACAGAAAAGGGAAGTTAGGTTATTTAATAAAAAAAATGAGCTATCACAAAGATGAAATGGCTCAGCAGATAAACCCCATGTCTCCCAATTCCGGCAAGCTGTCTTCTGATCTCCGCACATACATGCCAAGGCGTGAATGTGTGCCCCCACACTAGATGTAATAATTAAAAACAAAAAGGTAAGTTATTAGTGGGCATGATGGCACGTACTTACAATCCCAACCTTCCAGAGGCAGAAGTAGACTTGCAAGTTTAAGGCCAGCCTGATTCATCCAATGAGTCCTGTCAAAGGTGTGTGTGTGTGAAGGGTTGTTACCAGGGTGTTTGCGACCTCTTGATAAGAGCCACCAGTGGGGGATCTCTAGGTATGGAACAGAAGAAGCACCCTCAGAGTTGCCCTCCTGAGGGGTAAGGAAACTAGAATTTTAAAAAATAATTTACTTATTATTATTTTATGTGCATTGGTGTTTTGTCTGCAGGTAGTATGTCCATGTGAGGGTGTTAGATCCCATAGAATGGAGTTACAGATGGTTGTGAGCTGCCACGTGGGTGCTGGGAATTGAACTCAGGTCCTCTGGAAGAGCAGCCAGTGCTCTTAACCTCGAAGCCAGGTCCAGCCCCAGGAACTAGATTGTTTAACCCTCTCCTGCCATCAGTGACAGACGATTCCCCTGAGCAAGTGCTTTGATTACTCAGCACTTTTGACACAATGCTTTGATGACCAGGGAATAATTTCAGGAGTTGGCAGTGGTGTGGAGAGATCTGCAGCTCTGTAGATGTCTGCTAAGATGTTAGGTGAAGGTCCTCTGGGTAGGAGGACGGACCTATGATTGGTCCAGAGTAAAGGCCAGTGGGATTCGGGGACAGGCATCTACTAGCGATGGAAATGTAGCTGTCATCTTTACAGCTGGGACGTGATTCGATGGGCAAAGGGGTGTAGAGGACTCAGAACCGAACCCTGAAGACCACCAGTGCGGGAGGGGCTGGCGGGAGGGGCCAGCAGGAAGGTAGGCTGAAGCACGGATGAGTGTGATTTGGAAAAGGAATGGGGGGAGGCGTGGTGAGGGGCAGGCGGGAGAGTGCCCAGCTCTTGGTCAATGGAGTGAACGCTTGGAAAATCCTCCGTCTTCCTCCTGAGTTAGAGTCAAGCTTCACTGGCCTCATCATGTTTGGATTTAATTTACCCCACAGCCTAAAGATAGCTTTTTTGTTTTTGTTTTTTATCCACCAGAAGCTACATGGGAGCAGGCCCTTGCCCATTGTCAGGGAGCAGTGTGGACAAATATGGTAAAAAGTTGCCCAGGACCACCCACAGAAATACCCTCATTAGGGCTGAATGAGATGTGAAAACACGTTAGTGTAGGTGTTCTTCCCCACGGAAAAGCCTTTTCTTTTTCTTTTTCAAGGCAGGGTTTCTCTATGTAGCCCTGGCTGTCCTGGAACTCACTGTGTAGACCAGGCTGGCCTCCAACTCGGAGATCCACCTGCCTCTGCCTCTCAGTGCTGGATTTGAAAGGAAAAGGACCTGCACCACCAAGTTCTCAGCACAAAGGAGACTTATTTGCCCCAGAGGAACTGAGGGCAGGGAAGAGAGACAAAGACAGGAGTCAGAGGAAGAGCGAGAAGAGGCAGGAATCAAGGAAAAGGAGGCGGGGTGTTTGTCCTAGGGAGGAGGCAACCACAGAGGACCTCTGAGAGAGGCCACAGATGGCACCTTAGGGGCTAGCTTCAGGAATGTAATCTAACAGGGTTTTTTGTTTGTTTGTTTTTGTTTTGTTTGCTTGGTTGTATGTGTTTGGTTGGTTGGTTTGTTTCCTCGAGACAGGGTTTCTCTGTATTGCTTGGGAGCCTGTCCTGGAACTCGCTCTGTAGACCAGGCTGGCCTCGAACTCACAGAGATCCACCTGTCTCTGCCTCCCGAGTGCTGGGATTAAAGGCGTGCGCCACCACCGCCCCGCTCGATCTAACGGTTTTTAGGAAGGCAGAGGGGGTTGTGGAGAAGGGCGCGGCTGCCAGAGTTCCTTCAGGATTAAAGGTGTGTGCCCCTGCTGCCCAGCTGGAAGGAAACCCTTTCAAACCGTTTCAACTGAAGAGAAGGCATTCAGGCCAGATGTTTTCAGTGTGATCCAAAGATGGAGTGAGCCCTGTTGTCCCTGTGAGAAATAGGGATCAGCCTAACCAAGTCCTCCTTGGTTTACTTAGCACCAGGTAACAGTGCAGGTCAGTTTAACTCCAGGCCCTTCCGTGGGCAGGAGGCCATTGTCCGAGTGCTGTGGAAGGATGAGAGCCCCTCATCAGTTCCCACTCTCCTGATTCTCAGTTTGGCTCCCCAAATGATGAGTACGGCTGGTGGTAATGGCTGCTGTCTGGTAGCCTTTAACCCAGTTTCTGGTGCTGCGATCTCTGAGAGGCCTTTGGAGGGGAGTTGCGTTTTGCATTAACATCCATAGTCCTTACCAACGGGACATGGCCACAGCATTCCTGTTGTGACCAGGACCCAGACCGTTTAGATACAGCTCACTGTAGTCCCTTGGCCTTGCCCCTCAGGAGAGGGCTGGACAAGAGCTGGCTGTGGCATCTGAAATAGGTACTTATCTCTCACTGCCTTATTTCTGTCTAGAGGGGCGGGGTATTAATTACAATCATCTCGGTCACTTGATGCAATAACAAGAGACTGGGTTTGACAATACTCAACACCCAAGTGTCATTCTTGCCACCTTCTCAAGGGCACGGCGACATTACCTGTGGTTTGTGGGTCCTTCAGTCCAAGAATTATGATTTAATGTTTATGCTAAGTGTACAGTCTTTACTTCCAAGTTTCCAAAGGAACTTGGCCATAGTGATAATCTGGTGGGAGACTCCTTAGCCAGGCAGCTCCCTGCGGCCTGCGCCTTTCTGCCCCCAGGTGACTCCTCGAACAGCCGCAGGGCAGCTCCTACTGATGTGGTAGGAAACGGGATCACAGTGTTCCTTCTAGTAGAATCCTGTTTTGTTTGTTTGTTTACTGGACACTGCCTATCATTCCGATCTTAAGCTAAGACAAACCAGAGATTCAAATAATTTTTCAATGGACAGTTTCTTGTTCAGCCCCTCCGGCCAAGAGTCAAGATAAAGCTCCTGGTCCAGGAGCTGCCCCCAGCTCTGTTTGGCTGGGAAGAGTAGCTCATAGAACTGTGGTTAAAGATGTCAAGGAGAAGTGAGTGGAAGGCAAGAGGGGGTGTGCTTGGGAGTCCAAAACTTGGGGTACCTCAAGAGATCCCACAAGCAAAGGTTAAGACAGGCCATGAGCCTTGAATGCCAGGCAAGAGGAGTGTGGGTGTGGTATGGGCAGGCCTGCAGCGGAAGGGTCAGTGCGCCCCACCCTGGCCTGATCTGGCCTGGCTCAGGGTGTGGGCAGCTTGCCTCTCCTCCTCTCTAGGCCAGCGGGCAGGCCTCATGCGTGCTGGGGGCTCCAGCCCAGGCGGGCTGGCTAGATGAGAGGAAAAACATGCGGTTTGGTGGGCTGGACATGGAAAAACAAGCCAATTAGGAGGAAAACAAACAAACCCCAGGCCAGCAGAGGCACACGCACACATGCACACGCACACGGCCCTGAATGACACTCAGGCACTGTGCTAGCTGATACAGTCACTTAGGCATCTCAGAAACCCCCACCGGGGGAAACTCGGTTGCCTGAGAGCATGCGGCATACCCAGATATGACATTGTCGTATGTATGGGTAGGCGTTTGCTCAGACACCCCTGACATACTCTCACACCAGGTCTAGCCCATTTGTAGACATGCTGGGGATTCGGGGTATCATCCATTCAGAGCCAGGATGGTGGTGCAGCCTTTAATCCCAGCACTCGGGAGGCAGAGACCAGCGGATCTCTGTGAGTTCGAGGCCAGCCTGGTCTACAGAGTGAGTTCCAGGACAACCATGAAACCCTGTTCGGGGGGGTGCACTTAGACTTAAGCTCCATAGCAGGCAGTGTTGCTGGCTGGCTGTGTGCTTCAGGTACAGTAGCGCCCTGGAGGACGTGAGCGACCACGCCTTGCCCTCACAGACACAGTCGTCCAGCTCGTCCCCCACGGCCTCCACTTTACCAAGACTCACGCACGAAGCCACCTCGCCGCCACAGTGACTTAAAAACAGCCTTCCCGAGCTCACAGCACACTCAACAGCAGGGCCTCCCAACGCCACACTGTCCCACAGCCTCACACTTGGTCTCTCACAGCGCCCCGTCTCCGCCCACCCGGCCCCTCAGCTGGGCTCCAGCTGCAGCAAGTTGCTCCTTTTCTTCCTTCTCTTTGTTTTTCTTTCCTCCTTTTCCCTCTGAGAAACCTGGTCCCTGTCAGGGAACCCAAACCCTCCTCTTCTCAGGGCCCTGGGCCAGGCAGGAGTATCCAGATGACAGACCAAACCCCTCCTTGGCCCCTGCCCCCTGTGACCTGCCCACTCAGAGAGGGGGGCTGGGGGGCAGAAGGAAGGGGGTGAAGACGTATCAGCCTGCCCAGGGGAAGGGGCTGTGAGCCCAGTGCCGTGTCCTGCTCTGCCCTCCACACCGGGGCAGGCAGCAGGGCGCTGACTCTGCAGCTCCCCCCCCCAAAGCGCTCTTCTCCTTTGAAGCCGGGGTAAGGGGGGGTAGGAGCAGGAGCGGGGAGTGGCGGTTTCTCAGCGACCTCGGAATGTCCTTTTCTCCTAGAGCCGCTGCCAACTCTGGCCTGGCCTACAGGCCCCCAGAAGGCACTTCCTGTGTCCTTGGCCACCCCCACCCCACCCCCATGGGGCAGATAGGGCAGGAACAGCACAGGCAGTCAGGATGACAGGAAACCAACCTAAGATGGGCAGGTTCCCTGGGAAGGAAGACAGGGTGGGCAGATGCAGGTGGCCATGTGCTCTCCCCTGTGCCAGGGAGGGGCTGCTCTGGCCAGTGTCTCCACCTGCTGCAGGGCAGTTCTCCTTCCTGCCCCTCATCTCCTGCCCCCAAGCCGGGTTTGCACTCGGGGGCTTGTGTCCCAGGCTCCTGTGCGTCTCACACACTCGACGTGTGCATGAAGTCACCTCTAGTCACATATACCATAGAAACCTCAGTTCCCTGAGGGTCGCTACAGCCACTCCACAAGTGTAGACACGGACTCCCCTTCCCTGTCCCTGGCTTGTGGAGTTACCCCTCCCATTTCCTGCCCACCTGTCAGGCAGGGGGCGGGAGTCGGGAGGCGCAGAAGGGAGGTGTCAGTGTCCCTGGAACCACAGACAGAAATTCCTTGCTTGGGTCAGATCACAGAAGCTGCCTCCTTCCAGGAACTTGAGCCGACTGTCCTCACGCCTTGACCAGTGCCTGAAGGTGGGACAGCTGGGCTAAATGCTCACAGCAGCAAAAAGCACAGTCAGACAACAGAAAGAACTTCCCACATGCAGTCATGTGCATGAGTAATACCTTTCTGAGATTAATTTCAGTTCCAGTTTCGTGTGTGGCTTCATGAGAAACGGTGTCCCTCTCTGCATCTTCTCATTCCAAACTAAAGGCAGCCACTGATCATGCCTTGGCCTTTCTTAAGGTGGTGGCACCCTTGGAGGCTGCAGCCAGGAGCCAGCAGGGAGCACACCAACGGAACAGCCGCTTTCTGCCAACAGACATTTCATAAGCACAAGTATTCACATATGGTCATGCGTTGACATGACCAAGAGCTACATAGATGCTTTCTGTTACCAGTCACCCCTTCATGTCAGAGACATGTGTCTCACATACACACTGATACACGCGGATGTGTACACACGTGGATTTGCTCATGCCTAGCCAGTTTGTACTCCTGTGTGGCTACCAGACCTGTTCTTCTACCAGTCAACAGATGGGAAGTCCAGGGGGAGGGGTCTCTTCTCCAAAACCTACGTACAGGTCACCCTAGCAGTAGAGGACCACTGGACCCTTCAGTGTCTGCAGCGCGTCTTTGGAAGCAGACACACTGTGACAGCAGACATGGGCAGGGACAACTCCCTAAGACATCACCTCCGTGCTGTGATCGATGAGCTGGGATTCACAGTCCCCTCTCCTGCCCCGTCCCCCCTTCCCCCAGTTCCTGACTCCATTGAGCAGGTGTGTGGGGGGGAGTCCTCCACACAGCCTTGTTTTTCTTTAATTAAACATCTGGCTGTCTGTGGCCTGGGAAGCCTCAGACCCTCGCTGACAGACCCCCCCCCACCTTTGGCATCGATGATAGGTAAGGGGGGAGTGCTGGGGCTCTGGGGCCCGCCTGTCCCCAAACCAGTCCAGGGGACTGGAGGCTTCAAGAAGGCCCTGACCTCCTGTCCTCACCCCCAGTGCCGCCGAGGGAGCCTGTGCTCAGCTGCCGCTCCAACACTTACCCCAAGGGCTTCTACTGCAGCTGGCATCTGCCCACCCCCACCTACATCCCCAATACCTTCAATGTGACTGTGCTGTGAGTAACTGCGCTCTTGACCCGGTTCCAGCCCTGACCTTTGACCTCCCCCCTCCTCATCATGTCCTGAGTCCAAGACCCCAGCCCAGCCTTGGGCCTGACCTTCCCCCTGCTTGCCCCAAGCTGACCCTTGATGTTGGTAACAGTACCTGGGCCTCATTCCTTTCCAGGCATGGCTCCAAAATTATGGTCTGCGAGAAGGACCCAGCCCTCAAGAACCGCTGCCACATCCGCTACATGCACCTGTTCTCCACCATCAAGTACAAGGTCTCCATAAGTGTCAGCAACGCCTTGGGGCACAACACCACGGCTATTACCTTCGACGAATTCACCATCGGTGCGTATGGTAGTGATGGCGGGGGGGGGGGTCACTGCTGTATACCCCCAGTGTGAAAGCGTGTCGGAGGTGTCCACATGTATGCAGGATGGCACAAACATGCCTTCATATACACCTGTGATCATACAAGTGGATGTCCTTACCTGCAGGGCAGAGCCGTCTCCAGCAGCTCTTTTCATTTTTTCGTTGTCTCCGTGGCTCAAAGAACATGCAACAGGGGGGAAGGGGGTGAGCTGGGCCAGACTCCTGCGCAGCTGCAGCCCCCCCATGCTAATGGCTTCCTTACGGTCTGTGATAAATGAGGTGTCAGAGCAGGAGACAGGAGTAGGACAGACACTGCCCTCACCCTACCCGCAATCCCATTTGGACCCTCTGCCTGCCCTTGCCCTGTCCCAGACAGGCTCTGCCTGCTCCTACCTCATCCCAGAAAACCCTTTACTGGTCCCTGAGATGGTCTCTCGCCTTCCGCTGCTCCATCTTCCCCGCAAGCCTCACGGCTGGGGCTTCAGATTATGTCTGTGCGAGCTGGACTCTTAGATGCTGCTGCCATCAGATCCTCAGCTTACCTCCAACACTCAGAGCATCTTCAGATACAGACTCTAACGGGGGCGCCCAATCTCAGTGCGGAACTGAGAAAACGGAGGGAAAGCCAGCAGTGTGTGACGCTGGTGTAAGCGGGGTGACTTGGGTGGCGACAGAGGTAATCATGATTGTGTCGGCTTCACCTTCAGCATGCTGGACAGCTTGAGGAAGGAGTTGTGCTGGAGGTTGGTTGAAATTTAGGATGTTGCTACCAAGAGCTGGTGACTTTGACTGTAGTGACAGCCAAAGGTGACAACGGGGGTCAGAGCTGGTAGTCTAATGGTTGCTCATTGCAGGTGCCAGAGCTCACAAGGCAAAAGAGAGATGGTGGCTGTGGCAGTGGCAGTTGTTGGCAGCAGAGATGGCTGAGCAGTGGCTGGAGTTGACGGTGTGGGCTTGCTCCCAGAGATTAGCACACTAACGAAGCAGTGTCTCCTTAACAGTGAAGCCCGATCCTCCAGAAAACGTGGTAGCTCGGCCAGTGCCCAGCAACCCTCGTCGCCTGGAGGTGACGTGGCAGACTCCCTCAACCTGGCCGGACCCTGAATCCTTTCCTCTCAAGTTCTTTCTGCGCTACCGGCCTCTCATCCTGGACCAATGGCAGCATGTGAGTGCCCTGCCTCGCCCAGGTGCCCGGGTGCGCAGTATAGCGAGACAGGACACTGCCCCGGGTAGTAGCAGCACCAGCAGGGGACCCAAGGGCAATCTAAGAGGCTTGCCATGGGGAGAAAGGGATCAGGTAGGCTTGGGAAAACGAGTGGGCTGCGGGGAGCACCCTCAGCAGAACATGCCTTTGAGGGCTCCCAGGGCAGTGGAGGGAAGTGCTGGGAGGGAGGTGACCGGGTTTCATGTCCTTCTCCTAATGTCCCTACTCCTAGTCTCTGGCTGTCAGCCCTGACCAGCGTCTCCCATTACACACTGGGTCTGTGATGGACCTGAAGAGCAGGATGCTCCCACCCCTCCAGAGATTTGCAGATGGGCACAAGGGGCTAGGATCAGACACTGCGATCAAGTTTGGTCTAGGGAGTGGGTTTAGATCATGATGGTCAGGCTCCAAAGTTAGGCCTAGTTTAAAGGTCAGTTTAAGGTTATAGGTCAAGTAGCAGCCTGGGCTGGGAACCAAGCAGTGGAGAAGGGTCAGCATGGGGTGAGGCTATGGTCTGGGTATTGACCAAGCTATGATGGAGAGCTCTAGAAAACAGCCAGGGATTTGAAGGCTTCTGGGTATTCTCACATTGAGAGCCCAGGGCCTATTAGACTGTGGGCACTCTGGGTGGCCCCTGAGCTCTGGGCTAGGACTAGAGTTGGGAGTGTTCCATGAGACAAGCCAGTCTGTCTACGGGGAGTCAACTTGAACCCCACCAGGCTCCAGTGCCATCTCCCCATGTCCTTCTCCTGTCTGGCTTTTAAGGTGTAATCTGATTCCTAGGTGCCTGTCCTGGAGGTAGGCCTGGCCCCCACAAAGGCTCCTCACACTCTCACGTGTTCCCTGACAGAGTCCGGAGTCCCTCCCGCCTGGCCAGCTGCCCGCGCCTAATGCATTGCTAATAACCAGGGTCTGGTTTCACAAGCCCCCTCCCCCGCTAACGAGCTACAGGCAGCAGCTCTGCGCGTCGCAGCGCACACGCCTTTCAGTGGACCTGGCATACTGCCCACCACACACACAGGAACATACACACACAGGAACATGCGCACGCACACACACACACACACACACAGGAACATACACACACACAGGAACACACACGAACGCACACACACATACACAGGAACACATGCACACACACAGGAACATACACACACAGGAACATGCACATGCACACACGCACGCGCACACACACAGGAACATGCACACACACACACACACACACACACAGCTCCCAGTAGGAACCATGCTGCATACATGTATGAGACCAGCATGTCAAGGGCCATACATTGGCTTATACTGTGGGCGGAACTCACCTCTATCCTGAGATCATACATGTCCAATGGTACATTATACCTTATTCCATGTTTCATTGGCATCGGAACAGGTTAGATCTGTAGCTCTTTTCAACTTGAATTTTGTATAGAATATCTTCCCTGCCCTTGATTTTGAGGAGTAGCAGGTGTATGGCTGCAAGAGGAGAGCAGAGAAAAATATCACTTGGATTGTCAGGGAAATGTAGACTGGGCATATATAGGGGCCAGGAGGTGTGGCAGAGACTGTCTCAGCATGGACGGGGTAAGGCAAGAACTGGAACCTAGTGTGGGTACCTTTGTCGCCTGCTCTGGACCTGACTGAGTGTCTGACATCTGCACCTGACTGAGTAGAGGGCTTCAAGGCTAGTGGGTGACAGTGGTGGCTCCTGCTCACTGAAAGCCCTTCTCTTAAGGGTGGTGACAACCTAGAAAGGAGGGCCCAGGCCTAGGATTGTCACTGCCCAGAGATCATTGGCAAGAAGAGTAGTCCATCAGTGACCTACCCCCCTCGGCCCTCTCCTTTGTCTTTGGGGAAAGACATGTGGAGGTCTATAGGCCAAGACGGAGGGAGAGGTGAGCTAGTCAGCCAGAGGGAATCTTTATAGACAGAGGAGATAGGATCCAGGGTCGGGACTGGGGCTGCATGAGAGGAGGGCTTTTGGTGCCCACCCGTATTCCAGGGCTGGGGTTAGGATTGACTGGGTCAGGACTGGGCTCAAGCGCATTTCAGCATGAGCCTGACCTTTACCAGGGGCTCCAGCATCAGGACCACAGACCGAGCAGGAATTAGAGAGACTTCCTGCTCTGCATTAGCCTGACAGTACATGGACGGGTGCACACGCTCACACATGCACACACACACACACACACACACACACACACACACACACACACACACACACAGGTATCATAGACTAGCAGGTCAGGTGGCCTAGACCTTATTTTTCTGTGGAGAAGATTAGAACGGGAACCAAAAAGGCCTTAAAGCCAGACATGGTCCAGATCAGCCCCCTCCTTCGCCCCACTGGCTGCCCCTGTTTACGAGGCGGCTTAATGAGGCAGCGGGTGCTGCTGAGATGAACCAGAGCCCAGCCTGGGCCTGGGAGGGGCGCAGGACACGCAGGCCGCCTTGGAGAGTCGAGGGGAGACCAGAAGGATGAGGCCAGCCAACGGGGGTTGGGTGGTAATGCCATGCCTCCAGGAGGAAGTGGAGCAGCAATCCCGTCACCCGAGGGGTTGTCCCTAGCCCTTCCTACTTCAGAGTGATAACACCTGGAAGCTTTCCTGGGAGAGGCCCTGCTGGGGTTAGGTGGTGGGTGCACTGACTCTGAGCTGAAACCCACAGTGACAGTGTCAGCATAGCCCTCATTATAACTCTAAGGTAGATACGGTCATTAGTATCCGTTTATAGACAGGGACACAAAGCCAATGGAGGTTGATCTCCAAGTTAGCAAGCGATGGAGCCAAAGTTTTATCTTAGGCATCTCTCCAGCACTGGTGCTTATGACCTTTTCTCCATGGCTCCCCCAGAGGAGGTAGGCTAGCACCACACTGCTCATGGTTACATCTTCCCTTGGCACCACAGCATCTTGGACAACAGCAGCTTGGCCACTGAGCGGAGTCACTCTGGGAGTATTCTAGCCTCCTTCATGTCTGAGGTCCCTCCTAGGTCTTCTTGCTGATGTCTTCACTTTCCTTAGAAAGCGAAGGTCGCTCATTGTGACCCCTCTCTCCACAGGAAGCCCTCGCTCTCTCCAGGGGTGCCATCCATGTCCCTCTCCCCAAATGTACCCTTGCCTCCCTGGGGGGTGGCGAACCACACACCCATTTGTGACTCCAGAGGTGTCTCTCTTACCCTGTCCTATGCTCGGGCCTGCAGGTGGAGCTGTCAGACGGCACAACACACACCATCACCGATGCCTATGCTGGGAAGGAGTACATCATCCAGGTGGCGGCCAAGGACAACGAGATTGGGACGTGGAGTGACTGGAGTGTGGCAGCTCATGCCACGCCCTGGACAGAGGAACCACGACATCTCACCACTGAAGCCCAGGCCCCCGGTGAGCCCGCCTGCCCGCTGCCCTGTCCTCTGCCTGTTCCTCCAACTCTTCCTAGTAGCAGAGCCCATGTGACTGTCTCTCTCTTGCTGTCCCAGACCCACCCATCTGCCCGACACCTGTGTTCCTGGTTCTTGTGCTCTAGATATCCTTGGTAGGGATTACCGGGTGCAATGGTCACTTATGAGCCTTGGGAAGCAGGATGGGAGAGGCAACACTAATCTGATCAGGAAGCAGGAACAATGTGCCGCATGAAACCCCAGCTCTGGGTGGGACCCAGTCCTACCTAGCCCTGCCCTGAGTTTCCCCCATGCTCCCCAGAGACCACGAC